TAAAAAAAAAAAAGAGAGAAAGCATGTAAAGAAGTATAGCACTAGAATTTTTTTGAAGGTACAAGCAAAACTAATCACAGGTTTAAGTGCTACAAAGATATGATATACAGTTGGTGCAATCTGTCTTGCAACATTGACACAGGGGACCAAAGGATGTGACCCTCACAGCCGTTTGTGACAATTTGCTTTCTCTTGTATTGTAAGCACCCATTCAGATTTAAAGTTGGTACTTATACATAGACCATCATCATCACACTTCATGCAGGCACTTGGAAGGCAGTTTAAGTGCAGTTGTTATTGAGCTGTAAGCATTGGGTACTGTGTGACATGTTAGGGGAGCTTTACGAGATTCCAGTGTATGGGATAGACTACCTCATGCAATATGAGATCTAAGGGCTTTAAGTAAACATGTGTTTGTGTATGTATATATAATATAATATAATATAATATATATATATATATATATATATATATATATATATATATATATATATATATATATATATATATATATATATATATATATATATATATATATATATATATATATATATATATATATATATATATATATATATATATATATATATATATATATATATATATATATATATATATATATATATATATATATATATATATATATATATATATATATATATATATATATATATATATATATATATATATATATATACACATACACATACACATACACATACACATACACATACACATAATTATGATTATGATTATAGTTATATGAAGTGTCACCATCTCCAAAATGTATTAGTCACTACAAAACATGCAGGTTCATTGTTTGCATGGATGACATGTACTATCATATGGTAAATCCAAAAATTAGTTACATCAAATATTTTAATCAAAGCAGTTCTGGAATTACAGATGGAGTAACCCAGTTTTAACATTGTTATTCTGATGCAGCCCAAGTATTGTATACTGCTATGGAAGTAGTCCAAAACCGACATAACGTTGTTTATCGTTTAACCCCAGAGTTATTGTCACTGAATTTTGGGTCACACTTTTTGAGTACTGTTGTATCAGCCCAGTAGTGATGATAATGATGGTGATATCAAGATGTGTTGAGATTTGCATTTTATTTAAGTAATGCTAAATATTGAATTTTAAGGCTTTACTAAAATACATGGTGTCTAATTTGCTTTTGTTTTATATATATGTAATGAAAAAGACAGTAAAATAGAAAATTGGGTCACAAAGTTTAGTTCATCCAAATGAAAAGTCCCCAGATTTCACAGCTCGATGATTACTATGACCTTTGCAGTTGCGTCTTGATACCTGCATTTTAGTCTCTGTTCAGCTGGCTTAGACTTGATTTTATGGTTTAAGTTTTGGATTGAGATATTAGGACATTAGAAAAGGGAAGAAATACATATCTTGTGACTGTGGGTGTGCATGCATGCGTGCATGTGAGTGTGTGTGTTTGTTTATTTTCTATATGTATGTATATATGTATATATATGTATATATATATATATATATATATATATATATATATATATATATATATATATATATATATATATATATATATATATATATATATATATATATATATATATATATATATATATATATATATATATATATATACATATATATTTGAGATATATGTATGTTTGTGAAGACAGGCATATGTTTTGTTTTAATGTGAAATGATTTTGATAAGTGGCTAATGTTTTTATAAGTCATTAAATTCTGATTAGATTTTATATTCAGTATTTATTATACCTGTATAATCCTGCTTTTGTGAAGTATGAGGCTGGTAATTATTTGACAAGAAACTAGTAACTTTTAATTGTGAAGCATAATTATTTTGAATGTTTCTTTGATTGTAACAGTTATGTAATAGGGTTCACAGCTTTGAAATTCTGTATTCAGAATTAATTTTTTGTACTTTGTAGATCAAAACTGACCATGTGTGTCAGTATATTCAGTGAGATGACTTTGGCGTCTTTGTGTGTGTGCGTGAATATTATGAATATTTTACTATGTTGTGAACAAAAATGTGCAGGAAACATTTTATTGCCCTTTACTTGTATTTTTGAATTGGTTTGAAGTTATTACATTTGTCAGTCTTATTTCAAGAATAGATGTCTTTTTTTTTTTTTCTTAATTTCTTTGATTCATTCTTAATTTTGATTCTCCTGGGAATTTCTAACATAACTTATTAACCTATAAATGCAGTTTATGGATAGCCAAGTTGATTCACATTATCAGAATTTTCTTAGTAGTAAAGTCTGAAACAGCAAATTAAGAATTCAGAGTAAATTTTAAACACTGCTGAAATTTGCCGGAAACATTTGCAACAGCAGTAAGCTAAATTTTGGTTCTTTAAAGATAAAATGTTAAGAATGAATAAAAGCCGTCAGTTTCTTTTCCATATATGCTCTTGATTTTTTGTCATCACTGTCATATAGAAAATTTTATTGAGTACTTAATGTGTAACAGTATTGAATTTTTTTTTGTGTGTGTGTATTAACCCCACATTGCTGGGAAAAGTAGTGTTCACTGTAATATTTTGCAAAATGGCTCCACAAGTGTTTAGCTGCAAAGGATTCGATTAGTAGACCTTGTGACTTCATGTGATTTCACCTTTCCTTGGGTTTGCTGGAAAAAATGTCTTTTTTACTAGTGGAATCAATACCAATGCTGTTATTATTATCATAAGACAATACGATTACCATAGTGTTGTTGACATTACTAACAGCAATATGAGATACCAGAAAATATTACCAGAAATCAAGGAAAATGGTAAACAAGTGAGATTGGTATTACTCGTAACTGGCTCATTGGTGACTAAGTACTTGTGGAGGCATCTGTATGCAAAGATGATTAATAAACTAAACTCACAGTTGGCATGGCCTGTACATACATGCCATTCCGAGGGCTGAAGGTTAAAAGTAAGATGAATCAATCATTGGAGTGAATTTTAAGGATCATTTAGCAGATCCACTAGATTTTTTCATTGTTGCTAGAGATTTCTGTGACAAAACTTGTTTTCTTGTGGTTATTGTTCCGACGATTTTAGTGAGAATTTTTGTTACATAGTTTTGCTCTGCTTTCGTCAAATGTCACAATATTATATTTCCCATTTATATGATCAGTGGTAATGTTAGCAATTTGTGAGTCATTTCTGAAAAATGAAGACAACCAAATACAGACCAACATAATTGCAGTTGAATGAATCTTTACAGCTTGTATAGGAGAAACTACAATACTTGCATGAATGAGTGGTAACTAGAAGGGGCCAATTTTTTGCAGTTTACACGTTCATGATTAGATATTCAGCAATTTCCTTTTATGTTAATGAAAGAGAAATGGATTAGCCCACATCACTGTCTTTTGTATTGTGAATTATGTTTTCATTAGATATTTTTGTCTCTTCTTCTTTAATATGTGCAGAGTTTATTGTGCCTCTTTGTAATTTTTTAATTAATATGAATGGTCTTATTAATGACTTTCTGTGGTAGATACAGTCGAAGATGAAAAAGATCTTCCCAGTATATTTATTGTGGATATGTTCAAAATCCAGTGCTTATTTATCCTTGCAAGATGTTCAGTTTCTTTAATGAAAATTTGGTTATCCTTTTACATAGGCACTGTTTTAACTGATTTTAATTGAGTATTAAAATACAGTGCTGCTTAACAATTGACAACTTGCAATTTCAAGATATCTCAAAGGCATCCTGTCCATTCAATGATACACTTACCTCAAGAGAAGATCTAAAGGGTTGGAATCTGTTGTAATGAAGAAAGTAATCCAACCCTAAGATAGGTAAGAAACTTATCCTTTACAGACAATATGAAAAAGAGCATTAGAGGTAGGAGGAGGACACAAGAAACAGCTGATAATTGCATTTTGATAAGTTGCCATTTACCTTTGCATTTGTTTATTATGGTGGGTAGCTGATCCATGATTTTATCCATATCGCCTGGTACCTAATGAATGAATATCCTGTAGGATTTAGTATACTGATTACAAGTTTTTATCACATAAGAAATATTTTTTCAGGTGAATATAGATTTTTAGAATAGATTAGATTATTATATGCTTTTGGGAGAAATTTGGGATTTCATTGCTTTTTAAACAAGGGTTATGCATTGCATATTCAAATCTGTCTTTTATGCATTTTATTTTAGATGTACTTTTTAATCTATTTTTTCTTCTCAAATTCTTTTTGAGAGAAAAATAGGGTTTTGTGTCCTCTTTGTGTATTTTTATCACCTTATCATTCTGTATAGATGAGACATTTTAATTTTAGGGTTCATGTTTATGATATTTTGACTCTGCACTTCATAAACTTCTCTCGGACATATGTAGGTTGTAGTCTCTAGAGATGATGATTGTAATTGGTGCTTGTAAAAGGTCTAGTGAAGATGATCCATAATACTCAAAAGTCGTCTCTATCTTGCTGACTTATATTTATCCCCTTAATTTCTCCTTTTCTGATTTTTACCTGTTTGTGCCTCTTATAAAAAAGGAAACATATAAAGTTGTGGAAAAGAACTGATATAATGATGGGTTTTCCAAGAAAGTATTTAGCAACTTTCTGTACTGTTGCAATTGTACACTTGTGAAACCCCAGTAATTTTATTTGTTATTTTTAATGGTAATGCCTAAGTAGTACAGCCTTCTTTGATAGAAAGATGGTTGTTTAATGCAAGAGCTATTTAGCATGAATATCCAAATAGTAGAGGTTTGTACATCACGTCAATCTTTGGTATTGCACTGATTAAGACTCCTATAGCTAATTGCCCTAGTGTCTTGCATGTCAATTAAAATATAAAAGACAAGTTGACCCTAGAACAGGGGTGTCAGACTCATGGCCGGCAGGCTAAATGTGGCCTTTGGGATCATAATAAATAGCCCATGGGGTAAGATAAAGAATTATTAGCCTGTGAAATTATGATTCATGAGGAAGAGTCGTATACGATTGTATACGATTGAAATGGTAGGC